CGCGGTTTTATTTATCTTTTGTGTCTGGTCACCCCGTAATATTATGATTCTGATGTGAATCTGTGGTTCAAATAGATAGGCGGGGACACCAAATACTCATTGCGGCACTACTCGACTGGCTCTGGTTAATGCAATATGCTTTTATTCAATATATATTTGTTGCAAGCGTGCGTGGTGAAAGGAGGCATGCCGGGAAACGTGGAGGACTGCCATCCCTCCATGAAACAAGTTCACAATAAAAAGCAAGCGGGAGTACGACGAATGATGTATGGACTAGGTGAAGGGATGATGTATGAAACATATGCGGGGAGGGACTCAAGACCAGGCGAAGCACACACACCGCCGCCTCCGATCTTTCTACCATTTGCAATGGCGCGGTCCAATGAGAGGTGTGATATGCATTTGGATTGACAACGTCTAGGCGCATTGTCATCATATGCACTGCTCGACTACTGGTCGCGGGGGTGGAAAGGAAGAATTGCATGGGGACATGAGTTAGGCTATATGTGTGTGTGATTTTATATTTCCCCGTTGCAACGCACGGCATGTTTGCTAGTATATAGTAATCTGGATAATTTAAATTTATTGGAGCATAAGTATATTAATAATTAATATTTATTACTTTATATATAATTCTGATGTTCAAGAGTAAGTAGTTGTCAATTTACAATTGGGAAAAAACAAATAAATATTTATTAATTCTCTGTTGCCATGACCTCATAGTTATGGTAGTTAGCATAGTGACTTTGACACTTTTTAGATACACACCAACCTTCAGTTCACACAATTGCATCAGCCTATTGTGTTTGAAGTTTGCTTACATGATAACAGATGTTGAATTTTCCTGTTGCATTTTCCTTTGATTTATCATCTATCTTTTTTATATTTGCATGGGATGGATTTTAACTTCACTCTTGCTAAATCCCTCTATGGAAGTTTGTTTGAGTTGCTTGTACAACAAATCAACAAGTCCCTTTTAGTTGGCAAGCGACGAGCTGGAAGGTCAATCAGTTTCCCCTTACATCCGTGAAGGGCTGCGGCGGACTTGCTCCAAGCGCCGCCTCCATCCTTACACCATCTTAGTCACATGCAGTGGCCGACTTATCTCGGCGCGGTGGGAGTGACTGTTCAAGGAGTTTGAGGCTGAGGATGACAAGGCACCTAAGTAGCACGATGACGGTACAAAAAGTCACACGTTTGGCCACCAACAACGCGAAAGCCGGCGGCTCCGGCGCGGGGGTCATCGACCTTAATCGGTGTCCTGTCTTTTCTTTGGTTTTCAGTTGTTTATTATGATTGGTGTCCTGTTTTTTCTTTGGTAAATTGCATTCAGATGTCAACGAACATGTTGGTATCCATTTGCTGATCCATGTTGGAGATGCAATCTCATTGTATTTGAGTCTCATTTATTTGGCTCTTCCAAAATTTATAGTGCAACTTCTTGTAACATGCCATTTTCATGTGTTACCAAGATTACAAAAAACTAACTGGAATGGGCGGCTGCCAACCTGGCACCGCCCCAGCTTCGTTTCAGGAGGCGCCACGAGGTGGCACCCCAACCCCTAGTACTTTGATCAAGCCTGGTGGTGGACTGGATCCAATCTTGGGAGCGCTCCTTGTAGTTGTAGGGTTACCTTATCACCACCATACACTGGCATAATTATCACATGCAGTGTAGAGATCATCTTTCCAGGATGCAGAATCATTCATAAGCATGCTGTTGCCCATGGCACTAAAGAATATTTATTATATACTTTTTCTTCATCGCCTGCCTTTTGTGCTGGCCATGGCATTGCATTCTCTCTGCAGGCTCTCGAGTGTCGTGGAGATGTCTGCTCCCTCCTTGTCACCGACTCACCGTCAAGAATGGAGCACGAAAAACATGCCTGCAAGGAAAAGCTTCAGGAGATGCGTACCAAAATTTTGCACCGCAAACTGTGCAACATTTCCCTACCAGATTTTCGACCTGTCTATTATCTTTGTTCACATGTCCTTGCAGATTGAGATGACAAGACCACCCCACATCAGACAAACCTTCATGACAAGGATGTCTACAAAGTCGCAACTTTTGCAGGATGGCAAGACACTGCATTTCCTTCTCCGGTTCTCCACCACCCGTGAGTGACAATGTTATCCACACTGGCCATGAACAGACCATACTCACTCCAGTGCATGTAAATAAACACAGTAAAATCTTGAGAAGCAGAGATTCAAATCCCTAATGGCGATGAAAATGTCTTGTGTGCATAACAGAGAGGAATCCAACAGGTACGGGCAGCACATAGGCCGGTATGTACCTCACCCTGTAGCAGGAGCATCAGCCAAAACTGATTGCAGTTGAACACCTGGAAAGCAAGGACAATAATGCAGCCTACACACCGGCACAACTTAAGCTGGGCTTCTTGGCCTCATTAGTAGGCAGTACCACCCGTGATCCCTGTGAATGATGCTCCAGGCTAGGCCTGCGGTGGACATGGTGCACAGATTGATCAAAGCAGCTACAGTGATGTACTGATGTCTGCCTCATTTCTCTGCACAGTCCTAGCTCCACTATCTTCTGATAAGCACCTGAGAGGCGAGAGCAATGTTTTTGGGCATTTCTGATGCAAGAAAGATCAACGAGCAACTTCTTGCGCTTGTAAGCCTGCCAACAAGGTAGAGATTCTGTTTGTAGTCTCGGTGGTTTCTACAGTAGCATCTAACAAAATCCAAATTAGGGGCGTCGGTTCTCCCCGTGACTGCAGTGGATACTGTCCACGGGATGGTCTGTGCAATGAGGCAAAAGCTTCACTTCACATGGTCTAATTATACGTTGTCGATAAACTGGAGGCTAATAGGTGTGAAATGTTCCAGCAGGCCAGCACCCCTTGCATGGCGCTCTCAAAGTTTCAGTTCATGGAACAAGAAAATCCCCAGTAACCAATTAGCTCATCTTAAGCACCTTACCCATATCCACAATCCACATATCAACTCGTGTTAAGCACCTAATATCCATATCCACAATCCACATAGCAGCAGTGCTGCTATGTGGAAAGTGAGTGGCTCTGTGAGACTGTGACAGCCACATACATCCATTTCAGGTGAGAACAGATTTGATCTTATCCAATTTTACTTTATCAGTAAGATAAGAAACACATTATAAGCATGGTATGAAGAATATACAGTGTTTTGTACGACCAGATGAATTAATACTACACACAAAAAAATTGGAGCCATCAGGATATCCACAATTAAACATTCTTCTACAGGGTGCTTACAGAGGGGCAGTATAACCACATCATCATGTACCCAAGTAAGAAGCATAGGTGTTTCAGTAGTTGTATTTTCTATTAGTAGAGCAGGTAGTTATACACCCAAATACCTGTTAAACACTAGTGCTCACAAGCGTCGATGCTACAAAATTAATAACTTAGCAGCTGTCCTAGATGGCAAGGAAAGATAGGTATCTTTTGTTAAGCACCACCCCAAATATAAATGGATCGCTCATTCCCATTTAATGAGAGTTGGTAGCCAGTAATCAGGCCAAAGACTTAACTTGGAAGTTGGAACACTGAGGCACATGGAAATGCGGAGCTGATAAACCTCATAAACAGGACTAGATGGACAACTGATATATGATTATATCTCAAACATATTAACAATTGCAAATAATGGTAGTTCTGTGAATCTCTGACCCAATCAAAATTTATCTATCGATTTTTGAGAAACAGGCTATCCTTTTTGCAGTAACCCTACCAGGAAGGGTGACTGGCCAATCAAAAGCGCTAGTTGCAAAAAGAAATCTATGTCAAGCAGATTGTTAGATGACTCATGACTTAGCTGAAATCATTTATCATTACTTGAACCATTGAGTTCATCTTGTTGTAGAAAGACGATTAAGCATGGAAGCTACCTGAAGGGCTGCAAAAATATAGGCACAACAATGAAATGAAATGACTCAGTGACTATCTTCGACCATGTTATAGTTATACGATGAAAAATCATTCAAGCTATTTAACTAGTTACTCAGCTATATGTATGTACTCATACATACTTTCAATGCTTCCATTCACTTTGACACGACAATTGTCTGCTAGGCTGGGCTATCAGCACACTAACCAGTCTAAACTGCTATTTCCACACACCAAAAAAAAGTCTAACCTGCTAGTGACCTTAGCACATCCAATTATTTTACAGAAAAGCTTTCACTAAATTCCCTCACGAGAGTGGCACTGTGTACTGCAGTGGTGTTAGTTTATCAGTAATCCAACTTCAGTTCCAGTTGAAAAAGTACAAATCATGTTCATGATCAATAAAAAGTCTGCTCTGTTCTATTTATTTTTACGAGTGATGCCTTGTATTATTTTCCCACTCCATAAATTTATCGAGGAAGGTTTCTGCACCAAACATTTCTCTGTTGAAAGATTTGATGCCATGTCAGATCCAGGTGTTTCTTCTAACATTTCTCTGTTTGCAAGCCCTACTAAGACACATTATATATCAGACACAATCACATTTGCATCATTTCCCCTTACGACAACCAATAATGTCAGGTGCATTCGCAGCTTGTCACTAACTTTGAACAATCGAACGGGAAAACGACAACAATCATCAGCAGTGCACTAAATCGAATACCATTGATGCTAACTAGCTTGCCACTAGAGACTAACATACTGTCATCTGATCTTAAAATCAACCACCACATTAGTAATGATCTTAAAATTAAACACTACATCTGAGATAAATTCACTCTTGCCTTGCTCATAGGGAGATTCACTACATTACAAGTCAAACAAACAAGAAAGTACTAGGGAAATATCTTATCAGGCTAAAGGAAAAGCTCACAAAGCTCACGCGAAATCTTCCAGCAAGATGGCCTTCTCCACCGTCTCCTCCTCCTCCTCCTCCTCCTTCCGGCGCTCTCCTTCTCTGGTTCCCTTGCCGCAACGCTTCTCCTGCCCCAGCTCTTCTCCGACCACAACAACCCTATCTTCCTCGTCTCCGCGCCCGACGACTACCACCTCGTCGCTGCCTCCTCCGCCACCGCCGCCGACGACCACGACCTCGTCGGCGCCGCCCTCGCTGCCGCCCCCTGCGCCAACAAGGGCGTCGGGAATGGCCCCTCGGGTGGGTCCCGCGTCCTCCACGCAGCCTCCACGAGGCGCGAGGGGGTCATCTCCCTCGTCCTCGTCCTCGTCGTCGGAGAGGGAGAGGTGGGGGAGGCGGGAGGAGACGGCCAACGCCGCAAGGGAGAAAGCCTCGGCGATGGATTCCGGCGGGAGCGCGCAGTCCTCCAGGCCCGCATCCTCCAGCCGCGGCGGCCGGATGGGGTCACCGGCGGCGATGTGCCTGCCTTCCTCGGCCATTTTTGGTGCACAGCACGTGCGCTGGCTTGGAGGACTCCAGAAGTCGCTGCGCTGGGCTAGGCGGCTTAGCCAGTCTGAGGCTGAATGTGGGCTTAGCCTGTTGGACGCCCGCGTGCTTCCAATAATTGAGCTTTCGCTGAAGGCCGCGCAAATGGGCCGGCCCACTCAAAGGCGTCCGATGTAAAATTTCACTAAAAATAAATGCGGGCGCGTGGAGTCGAAATACACACCTCACGCTACAAAGGGATGACGGCAGCCAGTCCAGCTGACAATGTGCTTGGCTAACACGCAGACCTAACTGTTGAACATGTGTACATATACGTAGGTTTGGGTCCTGTATGTAATACCTGTAGTATCTGTCTCCCTTTGTATGTACGTATATCTTAGGAGACAAAATATCGGTCACATCCCTTGTACCTATATATATATGTGCCTAGTGCACGATCAATCAATTATCGATGCACCAAATTATTCTCTACATGGTATCTATCGCAAGTCGATCTTCCGGCTTCCGCTAACCCTAGCCGCCGCCACGGGCCGCCGCCTCCACCTCTCCTCCCTGCGCGCCCTCCCTCCACCGCGCGCCTCCCTCCCCACGCCGCGCCGCCTCTCTCCGCCGCGCCGCCTTCCTCCCGCCGCCAAATCATTCTCTACACTAACTTCTAAGAGCATTTGCAGTACATGATGTAAACTGGGAGATGTAAAAACGAGTGTTGTGTCATTTACATTATCAACAAGTGCTTTTTACATGTAAACTCCTTGGCTCCATCCGGATGCAAACAGCCCCGAGTCATCCGCCTCCAATGTGCGACACGCGTCATGTGGGCTCCCCGCACGCGTAGCATCCTCTGATCCTTATACCAAACAACACAAGTTTCCTGGTTCTCTACTGTTAGGTTAATCCAAACAAGTTTGAATTTGGCTAGAAGTGTGCTAGTTATGTCCAGTTATGACTAGTAGTGTGATCAGCGTTGCCGGTAATTAGATTAGGAAAGCAAAGTTGATTTAGGTGTCATGTACGACTACTAGTCCTAGTTCAGATAGGTATGCTAGGTTAGTTTTGGTTGTGTCCGTGTAGGACTAGGGGTCATACAGGTAAGTATAGGGTCAGGTTGTCTGGTTGGTCATGGTCTTGTGTATATATACACAGCCCTGGCCTTGCGTTTTGTAACACAGAGAAAATCAGAAAATAGAAATAAAGAGGAAAACAAAGGGCATGATACGGGCCCTAGGCTATCAGTTTTTCGTGCGTGTGTGTTCGTGTGATTTGATGTGATTGACCTGGGGGTGAATTTCCAACAATTGGTATCAGAGCAAGGTTCGAGTGAAGCTGCGCTTGCCCCAGGGTGGCGACCTGTTGGGGAACGTAGTAATTTCAAAAAAAATTCCTACGTACACGCAAAATCATGATGATTGGCATAGCAACAAGAGGGGAGAGTGTTGTCCACGTACCCTCGTAGACCGTAAGCGGAAGTGTTATGACAACGCGGTTGATGTAGTCGTACGTCTTCACGATCCGACCGATCCAAGTACCGAACGTACGGTACCTCCGAGTTCAGCACACGTTCAGCTCGATGACGATCCCCGGGCTCCGATCCAGCAAAGCTTCGGGGATGAGTTCCGTCAGCACGACGGCGTGGTCACGATGATGATGCTCTACCGACGCAGGGCTTCGCCTAAACTCCGCGACGATATGACCGAGGTGGAATATGGTGGAAGGGGGCACCGCACACGGCTAAGGAACGATCCGTAGATCAACTTGTGTGTCTATGGGGTGCCCCCTGCCCCCGTATATAAAGGAGCCAGGGGGGAGGAGGCGGCCGGCCAAGGAGGGCGCGCCAAGGGCGGAGTCCTACTCCCACCGGGAGTAGGACTCCCTTCTTTCCTAGT